GATTAAAGAGATGTCCCTCTGACACAAAAAGTAATCTTATATGCAAAGTTATGTCGACTAACATGTAAGTGGTCATTTCAGACCTTATAGAACCTATGCAGTTTCATCAACATAGTAATATATCAAAGTCCAGCTTTGGTGGCAAATTTTGTATTCATCTTTCGTAGTAAAATTATATTATTATAACGCAACGGGAATTCAAGGGAAGACATTTCAATTATCCCGAAGTCATTTTATAATGATACGTAAGATTATAAAATATTCATAAATTATAAAACATGAGTTATAATTTCTTTCCATCAACCGCACGTATCCGAGGTCGAGAGTCATTCTAAACACATCACTCATTCGAAACAAGGCATCGTTCAAAAAATGACATTTCGGTAGTCAATAAACGTTGTTTGTTTTTCTAACAGGAAATCTATTTAGTTGTGTAAAAAGATTTGGTAAAAAAATAAACAAAAAAGACCGTAGTGGGTGGCGGCCGACGACAGTCTAAGTAGCGTAATACGATATCCGCGTCCAGAGTTTGTTTTTCTTGCGCACGCTTCCAATTGTAGGAGGCCAATAAGTTGATGATATTATTTAGACGTCCCACATAATGTGTTAATAGCAACAAAACTGTTTTTATAACGGATATCTTAATGATGCACATTTTGGGTAAACAGTATCTCAGGAAATACAATTCTTAAAGGCACATTAAAAAGTAGTTAAAGCTACATTTTAAAAGCTTCTATGTTATTTCAAGTCAAAGTCTCCTAGCAGCGTAATTGACACAACCTAACTAAAATAAATATATTTTTATTCTGTTAATATTAATAAGTTTAATACATCAAATGTATATTGGAAGTTAGATCTTGTTTTCCATTAAAAAACTAAACGCGTATAAACGTATTTGTACCTACATAATATTGCTGTAAAATTTTTGTTTTTAATTGATGTTACAAATCACTACGGCATATACAAAATGATTGCAAGGATTTCATTTCCCGATCGATAACTTAATCGAGGGTCTATGTTTATATGTGTGTGTATGTGTAGGTGCGCCGTAGGGAGAGATCACGTGATTACACTCGCAACCCCTATTTGTATTTCTGTCTCATATTCATATTATAAAGTTGCTTTAGAAAGAAAGGATAAGAAAATACGTTTGTTCCGATTTCGGGTGTAGTTTAAACATCTGCTCGTTTTTAAATCTGTGATTGTAATGAAAATGAAATGATAAATTATAATTAAATTAATAATTAAACTATAAAATATTAACATAGTCGTAGAGCCTGTAGGAATTGTTGCTGTTGATTTAAAGAATTACAATTCGTTGCTTTTACATTTCAACAGTTAAATTACAAAATGTATTGAAGAAGTGTAAAGCTTGGTTTCTATGTAACGGTTTACTTTTGAGAGGCTTGTGAACCTAAATTGAATGAAACCAAAAAGAACTCGATCTTGTAGCAGCAAATATAAACAATGCAAACAACGATTTACTGTATTATCCTTATAATGTGTGCAATTAGGGTTATAATTGAGTGACGGAATGTATATTATCGTGTAAAAATAAATTAGTAGCAGTCAAAAGAAGTTCATTGAAAACGAATGCAGCTCATTCGGAGGTCCCTAAGGAAGGGGCAAGTTTCTGAGTCTCCCGTCTGGAGAGAAACAATACTTTGAAAAGCGTTTTGTAAGCAGCGAATTGTTCAATGAGCATTGCTGTACACGAACTGCTTGTAATTATTGTTATTTTCTGTCCAGACATTGATATTGAAAGGGAATGTGGAACATTTTTTGCGAGTGGCTGTGAATGTGGGATTTGAGTTTTTTTAATCATAAGGCGAGCTTTGATTTCTTCTTGTACGAAGTATTGAACTCTAGATATTTGACAAATAAAATAAGTTTATTTATGAGTTTTGTGTCCTAATTTCTCTTTGCGCTGACAATATTTAATAGCAATTGTTCGATTAAATAAAAACGTATTAAAAACAAAACTGCCTATATCCAACTGGAATGCGATATTATGTGTTAATTATACTAATAACGTTAACGTTATGTAAGAAAATAGTTAAAAATGTAATAAAACATGCATATTGTGTAATTGAAACAATAAAATTATTCAAACTAAAATTCCTTGAAAGACTTTTAGAAGACGAGTTACTTTTACGTTTAGAATGACTCAGTAACCAGGAAATCAACAGTTGCTATGGTCCATACAATTTTATAGCAAATAAATATTTATAATAAACTCTATTATGACTATATTCATAAAACTCAATACGCGAACAACCGGATATAATGGCTTCACAACTTCCCCCAAGCGTCTATAGAAGCTTGGTCTAGTCGTCTAGATGCAAGTCTCGGATTCTTTATACTGGTGACCTTAGCTTATTTAATTTTCAAGTTTAAGGTTCCCTTTTATTCGTGCTCTAGTAAGGAATAATATACCGTCTGGGTTTATGAATTTCTATAGCCTAGCTTCAAGGCGACCTGCATTGAGATAGGTTATAGTAAAGGGTAATTCGGTCGAATCTTTTCATTACACAGCTGTTAATATTGAATGTACAGGTTTTAGATTGTTCGCAATCGTATATATTATGTGATATTTTACGTTATTTCGGTATTCAGATATAAGTTTTATTTAGCAATAAGAATATTAGATTTCGTCACATTATAATATAGTAAAAGCCGATTTTATGATAGTCTGTTTAACTTTTTATAGTCACGTTTTGAGTTTGAAAATCTTACTGAATATTCTGTCGAAAAATAATAACAATACTAACTGTCGCCCGCAAATCTGTTCAGGGCGGAATTAAAAAAACTCAATATGTGTTCCAGATCCTCTTTAACCGATTTTCCTTAAGACTTGCTGTAGATACCTATACTTTCACACAAACATCCATCCAAACATCGCATTTATAATACTAGTAAGATTCAAATGAAAGTGAAAGGGGTCGGTTTTACACTTGAGCAGAAAAATAAACACATTAACAACACTCAGACGGTTCTCGAAACCTGTGCACTGATTTGCTACACGTTCCCCTTTTGCTTTAACATATGGGCGAACTAAATTTAGCTCTCAGTATAGCCTACCGTGACATGCGCAAGCGCACATGTTCGCAAGATGGTGAGCCTCACCTTACGCGGATTGCCGGCGAAAAAATACACCGCTTATGTTACAGGATGCACTCTGAGCATTATGAGGATTGTACCGTCAGACGGTGAATCCTAATCTCGAATAAGGGTTTTGTTACATAAAGACATTGTAGATGTTTGAAATTATTTTAACAAATTTTACTAAAAAGAAACACTTTCTTGGTAGTAACATATTATGTGAATATTTTCTTCAGTGTCTTTCGTATAAAATAAAATGATAACAGGACCTTTTTCATCAACAATAAGAATAATCATTTCAAGAAAAACATTAGGCGCCATATTAATGTCATAATTTGAGCGCCTGTTACTTTTGCATAGTTTACTTTAGTGTATTAATATTTGAAATTGCGGCTAACATTTTATTGTCATTTTACCTGTTGATTTTGTCTGAAATCCTACTAATGTCTTTAGATTAATTCGTAAGTTATTTTAAGTTTATATTCAACTTAGAACCTAGAAAGTAGAGTCGTGATACTACTAACTTAACCTATACGGTCATCAAATAACGCTTTTATCGAAATGTTATCATCCCCTTTCTTTCACAAACAGAATTCAAAATCGCGATATTGCAACAGAGCTGAATAAATATGGTTTCTATGCGAACCTCATAACCTGTATAATGGCATATCAATATTATTTTCATGATAGGTCACAAAAGTCATAGAATTGTGGCGCGTGCCATAACACAAAAGATAAAAACAGCCAAAGACAGCTGGCGTAGGTGAACTCACACAAACCCAACTAGCACTGTCTGTACACGCGAGTCACACAAGTAAAAAAAATTAATGTATGAATTTTGAATTCAACTGTTAAGGTTAATTTAAATTCAAATTATCGTGTTATTTAAAAATCAGATGATAAAAATAACGTACGTACAAAAGTAAAAATCTGCTTATAAAAGAGCTTTCTTGAAGCATTTGCATGATATGGCGATTCAACACGAATCAATATGAATCAAAACACTCTCTAGAATCTTCAAAATAAAATCAATAACTCATTAAAATGGTTGTATATTTATTCAAAATGTTGTTTCCATATTCATTGGAAAAATACTATAATATTCTCCTTATTTATTTGATTACAAAACAAAATAATTGAAAAAAAAACGTTTTCTCCTGAACTAAATAATTATCTTATTACAATTTTGCTTTATTATATTTTATTCTAAAATCAATGAGTAAACAACTACTATTTTATAGTTAGGACAAAACAAGAGATTGATATAGGTAAAGAAACAAAATTCCGCTTCAACCCTCTGCGCCGGCGCAGGCGCAGGATTCCATTAAGCGAAACGGTTTTATCCCCGTTACCTCACACGTGTATACCAATTTCATCTGATAGTTTGCGTGTGTGCGTGCTATAGTACCTTCACACATACGCGGCAGCTGGGTGCGCCACCCCATTATAAATTATTGTCCTTTACTATTTCGAGGGATGGTACATTATATCGATAACTTGTGTAAGAATATTGTTCTCTTGATTTCATTATCCATTTGTACACACATGATAACGGTTGAGAATATAATAATTAGAATTTTTATAGTTCTGAAAAATAGGAAATATTTATTATTGATAAATAAAAACTGACAATCAGTTATTAAATATCATATACAGTACCGACAATATATAATATATTTATTCAGAAAATCACGTTTAGATAAGCTCCTAATTGATATGGATTAGATTAGCAATGTAAAAATTGTCGATATTTTTATTAAGTCACGTCACTATTTTATGCCGCCCTTTGAAAGAGCATGTGTGCAACTAGCAAACGTAAGTACCTACCCCTGTTGATCCCCCCGCGGGCCACCCCAGGTGCGTCCGCGCGGCACGCGCCATTCCCGCGGTGGCCGGCGCCCTGACGCCATCTCAACATTCCTTGCCTTACAACCACCTCTAAACGGTTTCCATAACGGTACGTGACTTCATCAAAAACACCAACCCGGAACTAATTGTTATTCAAACAATAGTAACATGTGAAATCGGCAACTCACCGCTGAAATGAGTTCCATCGGAGTCGTAGTGTTTCGTAACTCACCGCTAGGCAAAGCGCAGGTGCTTCAAGAATCCGTGAATAATACTGTGAACATATCAAATAACGATGCCAACCCGAACATTGGTGAAATTATTATCGTAAGAAAAAAACACAAGATCACATCTCCTAATACGGTTTCAGTGTCGTCAATAGTGCGTGCAACAGATTCTGTGAATTCCAATCTGGCAAAGAGACCGAGATTTCGGGAAAATCCAATAGAGGATGCATCAAAAGCCCCAACTCCACTCGCTGTGGCCCGACGAAATGCGCGGGAAAGAAACCGAGTCCGACAAGTTAACGATGGATTTGCCGCCTTACGCCGACACATACCAGATGAAGTAGCCGCAGCCTTTGAGAATGCTAACTCAAATCGTGGACCAAACAAAAAACTGAGTAAAGTGGAAACATTGCGCATGGCCGTGGAATATATACGAAACCTGGAAAGCTTACTGAACATAGGTCATGATAAAGAAAATATGTCAAGGCCATCAATGGAATCTTTTCCATCCCCGGCTTCGTCATCACCTCGAGAAAACAGTCAAGAAAGAAGTTATTTCTCCTTGAATTCGCCAGCAATCGACGATGACGATATAGACGAGGATGATTTAGATGGTTCCCTCCAATTACATCAACAGTCTTATATGGAAATGCCATCGTCAGAACCGTTCCACCTTGTTGCCACGCCACACTTGTATGATGAAGAAGAAAATGTGGGTCAACCATTAACTCCATCGTCAGATCTTTTAGGACACGAAGAAGGAAATGCGCATATAATAGATGGTCACTTTCCATTTCCGAATTCTGCAGAACAGTTTTCAGTTATACCCGAACAAAACTATTGCAGTGAAACAGAAGTGGCACTACATGACAGAGATTTCGAAGTAAAATACGCACAATCTATACATCAACAAATGCAACCAGATTACGAAAATGAGACAGAATTACCTCTGGAGGCCATAAATCCAGATTTAATTCTTTCTCAAAATCAATATAAATTTAAAGAAGAAGACCATGCGTTTCTTGAAAACCAACCATATAATGAAATAGAGCTTAAGAAAGAACTTCCAGAAATTCAAGTAACACCCGAAGATAGGGAACAATTTGAAGAAACATTGAAATGGTGGCAAGAAAAAACCAGACAAAGCCGTCCAGTATCTAAAACTAAGAATTAGTTTAAATAATAATATGATAACGTATCGTAATTTATTATGTATAGAATAGTGTGTAATAAAACATAACATACAGCTGTTCCCAAAGCAATGTATGGAGCGGGCGCAAGGTGTGTTGTAACGGTCACTCCGAGTAATAAAGTCTTTGCGCTCCTGGCATTTTGTTCTAAATGTATTCTAATTGTTTATTTTATATTTTAGAGGCAACTTATAAACAGTATGTTAGCTATTATTTATAAGGTAATGAAATTATAGATTTTTTATCTTAATATAGTTGATTTTTGTAAAGTATTGATAATGTAACTTAATTTATAACTTGGAATTGTGTTGAAAACATTACGATAAGGCGCCATAATAGCTAAAAAAATTGTAATTTTTATTTTACAGTGCCTTCAACTATAAATTATGTGATCTTAGTATGTAGGTAATTTAGAACAATAAATATCATAATTTATTTCAAGATAATACGACGTTTTATTTTCTTTTACAGTCTAAGTAACCGTACCTTTATTCTTTTTAGTTTTTTTGCAGTCCTAAAATCTTCAAGATTTAATACATAAGTAGGCAATGAAATCATGTTCGTTGAATTAATTTGCCTTATTATTTAAAACCTTTACACAACCGAATTATTATCAGAAACTGGGACAACTCACAACATCTGGTAACTCGACTAACTTTTAGGAAGTTCCCGATGATTTTGATTTACCCTTCTAATAAAAACACTGCACTTACTACCTAGTTAAAATACTTACGTGTTAAAAGTCGTATTTAATTCTACTTTATTCCTCATTCCCTTATGCTTTATTGTCATTGATCATCAGTACTAAATCTATTAATACTATCAAATTTAAATTCTTAAACTATAGTTAAAACTTAAACGAAGAGTAAATGTATCGTCCCAAATATGAAGTACGTTAACGGTTAGCGGCAAAGCTATTGTGATTATAATGCGGTGCTGTTGCTGCGCGACAAAAAATGCTCTTAAATAAGTCCTTGGTGCAAAGCGGGTCATTTAAATTTTAGATCAAGTCGCTATTAAGGTTCATAGTAAAGAAACATGTTTTATATCTACATTATATATATCTGGATATTTAAAAAATTGTCAAATATAGCGACTATTGTAATTATATTTATATTATATTTTAAGAAAAATCACGCTGGAAATTAAAAAAAGATTTTATTTTGTAAAGATGTATTATGTATACCTACGTATACATAACAATATAATTCCTATTTGAATTCTTTTTTCAAAATTTTTATTTCTATACTACTTCTCCCGATCTTTCGACTTAATTTTACGCTTGAAATCAAATTAGTAAAAATATTTAGCATACCACCATAGAAAGAATGTTAAATATTTCAAAGTAACTAAAATATTATTTCTTACGTGAACCCAATAGACCTTCTTTCCGGGTGCTGGAGGAATTTAATTTTTTCACATAATTTTTTCTTGTGTTACCATATCATAATATTTTAGTGAGTAAACGTATTGCACGGTATTTCGGCTTCCATTTAAATATTTTCCGGTTCATTCGTCAGGCGCTGTTTCCAGTGATTAGAGTTTTGGATACACGTGAACTGGCAGTATACACAACGCACCTTTGAAAAAAAACTTTAATTTGACGCAATTTTAAAAATGGAATAAAAATCAATCTGTCATAATTTTTATTTAAATTGTGTCTGTTCTTATCTGTATCTTGATCGTGTTAGGCAGTATTAAAGTTTTACATTAAAAATCAAATGATTATAAATGCCAATGTTTAGATGGATAGATGTTTGTTTGAAGGTGTCTCCGGAACGGTTCAACGGGTCTCGACGTAATTTGGTACGAATATGGAACATAGCCTGAAGAACATAGGTAACTAATTAAGTCTTTTTTATTCCGCGCAGACGGAATCGCGTGAGACAACTAGTCATTAACATAACTCGGGATAAATGTTAAAGTATCATTTTATCTATTTAAAACGTTAATGATCGTTGCCTCATATAATGTATTGAAAATGTAATCCCGCATGTTAAGACACTTCAGGATCCTTATCTTTATGTTAGGGTTAGGGGCATGTAGAGTAAACTATTTAGTTTTATCTAAGATACTTTACGAGTACTTAACCATTGAAGAACACGGGTGGTTTGAAACAAAGTTTAGCTTGAATCAATGTAAGGGACATTTTTTGTTATTTAGCGTGTGATTAAAATTGAAATTACTTTAAGCGAAATTTCTGATTTGTATTTTAATAATATTTTTTTTCTATATTTAAATATATAGACTTAAGTATAACTCAAAAGTAATAATTCAACAGAAAGTTAGTTTGACGTTAAAAATAATATTCGTAGTCAGTTTCAACCGACTTTAACATGTAGTATAGAAAAATATCTGAAATATGAGCTTTTTAAAAAGAAAGTAGGCCACGTAAGGATATTCGTGAGAAACCCGACTGTTTACCATGACAAAATCTATTGCAATGCTGACTAGGAAGGAATCCTGATCGATAAACTCAAAGAAAAAATCCGTTACGGCCCGCTATAGCTTTTGTTGTCTTGCGCCAATGTGTACTATAATAGTTTTGATACTTGTGTGAATTATAAAAAGAAAGTAAAAATGTTTTAAGTTAATGAAATTTTTGTGTTTAAGTATTTTGAATATTATTTTTAACTTTACGTACGAACATTTTAAGTATAAACTTTAATCAACCAACTTTAATACGTCGGTCTTCATATACCAAGTATGTTTAATGTTAATTGGAAAAATAAAGGGAATATTTTCATAAACTGGAAAAATTAATTAATTGGTGGAATATTTATTGCTTTACATTGCTCAGATGATAAAAAATTAAAAAATTATGACTCAAGTATCAAATGCACGTAAGCGAGCTTCACGCAAGGTAAAGTCAAAGAAGCTACCCTATTGTTGTATAATATTTATTCTTGCGTGGATCTGTTCTGTGGAGTCTTTCAGCGAGGTCGCTTCCATTGTCACAGGGTTCATGGGAAAGGGCAAAAAACGGACTTCGCCTTTAGGGTACTACCGAATATAACGAACAAAACTGAATAAGCACTTTTTCAACGCATAGGCCGCTTCGTCTACGATCCACGTGTTCAAAGATTAGAACCGCTTTCATAATCTGCACGTCTTATGCGAACACCCTAAAGGTCGGGGCTAAAGAAATAATATTTGATCGTGGCATCTAAAATGGTATCAACGCAAAAAAACGTCTTACCTGTAGTCAGGTCTATACTCTTACATATTATTGAAATTTTGTTAGACAACGCTTGTAGAGTAATTGAAAAAACTCATTTTATAAAACTTCTAAGTGGAAAAGGCAAATCAATATTAAGTTCCCTAGAGTATAAAAATGCGTATCGTCAAAGTTGAGAGCTAACTACTTTGTAAAATTATAAGAAGCCAACGAAATCCTTACGAGAAACACTTTGAATGGCATTTACTATCCTGCAAAAAAACGAAACAAGGCCAAACCGTGCTTTCCAGAGCCGACATATCAAGGGAGATAGTAGACAGTGAAATTGCACCAGACTCTGCTGCCGCCATACGGCATGCGAGCGAGCGACATCTGGTGATCAACACAGATTGTACAAAAAAGTTCTTCTAAATTAACTCCAGCGTACGCCAAAAGTCACGGTGGCATATGTTACGGTTTGATTTTAATTTGAACAAATTTGTTTCGAATTAAATAAATAAAAAGGTCTCACGATCCAAATATAACCATATGTATGTTCTTATTCAAATCATCTGGCATTTTTATCAATAGCTTTTATGTAATTAAAAAACTATATAAACCTAAAACTCAAGATAAAAATACGGACTTGTAATTGGTTCGTTTTAAAACACAGAGAGGAGAAAGCTGATTTTCTGAGTTTTTAAATAAGAAAAAACATAGCGGAAATACATTGTTACTTAGTTATTTTCACGCTTATTATTTATTCCTAGATTCTATCGATAAGTTGACGCGACGAACTTTGGGTTATCGCGAATAACGAGCGTGCAAATAACGTGACAAATAAAACAAGTGACATGCAGCTGCATATTCTATAACATTGTAATTTTTCTAATGACTCATTAACGTTTATACTGACTAAGAGGTTTTCACTGTAAATAAGATAATGTAACGACTTTAATCTTTGAACTGAGTGAACATTGTCTTTGTTCAGGCGCGTGTTAGATCGTAATTTACTATGTATGCCTAAGTATTACGAGATAAAACCAGATCTCGCAAATTGACGATTAACATGTTTTACGTCATTTATTATGTAATATATTGAACAAAGACTTTGTACTAAAATGGGAACAAAGTACATAGTAATTTCCTTATCAAACTTTCTACAAAGTATTGATGAAACAATAGAATAATTCGGCTAATTAAATACACATTACTTTTATATCTCTAACATACATTTACATTTTTAACAAAGGTAGAGCCCGCTTTAACATCTTCGCACGAATCCACGACCACACAGAAGACAAGCGTGAAGTGAAAGCAATTGCGCGTTTCGTCTGATGAGTGTGCGTCCCGGAGGCCTAATTTAGTCCACTTTCCCTCTTCACCCTTTTCCTTATAAGGAAAGGATGGGAAGTGGAAGTGGACTTTACGGATGAGAGGATGCATGGAAAAGGAAGATATTTTCTTTCTGTGCATCCTCTCCTCCGTCGATTAAAGGTAGGCAGCGCATATGCAATTGCGTATGTCTATGGCAGCAATTACTTCGCTATTTCAGCGATTTCAGGTGGCTGCTCTCTCGTTTGCCACCTTTTGATATAAAAAAATACCACTTTTGTTTTGATTCAATTCTTTGGTAACTATTAAATTTATAATTGAACTAAAATTTATAAAATACTTTCTGTCATTGGCAACTCCGTCCACGCGAAATAAAAAAAAAACTTAATAAGTAGCCTATATGTTCTTCAAGAATATGTTCTACATATGTGCCAAATTTACCATCTATCCATTCCTACTCGACTAACTTACGTCTTTAAATTCTTTTTTCTTTTAAACTATCTGGCTAAATATGGTCAATATAAAATAAAATTTTTGCTCTTTGTATCTCTATTTATACCGGTAGAATAACAATTTCTGAATATTTTGTAATTAAATAAAGCTGTTGGACGTTTATAAGTATTAAAATTGTAAGTATTTAGTTGTAATACTTACATTTATAATCTGTAATGACCTTAACATATCGGATAGTCGTTGATTCTGATTCAAAAGTACTATAGAAATATATTTATACTAGAAACCTTTGCATAAGAACGTATTTATTAAATGAACTGGTTTTTCATAATTAGTTAAGTGTTCGATTAACAATAAATTTTGTCTTACTAATATTCTTACACATTATTACTAATATTTTAAATGCAAATGTTTGGATGGATGTTTGTTTAAAGGTATCTCCAGAACATGGATCTTGCTGAAATTTGGAATAGATATAGAACATAGCCTTTTTTTTCCAGAGAGGAATGCTTTATGCATACTCCGCACCCCGGGGGGGACGCGGTAGTTATGTGGGATTCTCCTCCATAGCGGAGGCATACCCACTAAACCTCTCTGTTCCTCCAACGCATCAGGACGGGACCACGGGCATGCTTTCGCTCTCGTCCGCGGCCTATGTAGAACATAGCCAGGAACAACACATATACAACTGAATAAGTTTTTTTTTTATAATTTCCACGCGGACAGAGTCACAGCTCATAAAAATGTAAAATTGTACATTGAACTATTTACATGTCTTTTGCAAAGTAAAATTATTATGTTTATTAACAATCTTTTTATATAACTGTCGGATTTAATTTCAAACATCTTACGTAACCAAAATACTAAAAATTAAACAAAAATGTCGTTTGTAAAATCTACTCTACACACGATAGGTACAAGGTCAGTCAAAATGTCGTAAATCAAATCAAAAACCGCTTTACAAAATATCTTTTTATAAATAGTTTTATCGTAATTTTGAGTAAATGTCAATGAACCAAAAATGAAACCAGTTTTTGTGGATCGTAAATTCATGTTACGTAATCCTTATTATTCAATATTAAAAATGCAAAAGTAACTCTGTCTGTCTGTCTGTCTACTTTCCCGCCAAAACTACTGAACCGATTTAAATGAAATTTTGTACACAGATAGAGTAGAGCTTGAAAGAGTACGTAGTCAACTTTTTAATGCGAAAAAAGGGATGTAAGGGGTTGAAAGGGGGATGGAAACATGTGCCACCGTATAAATTGATCAAGATTACATGTGGCTTGAAAGTAAATGATAAAACTGCAACAGATAATCATATAGACCTTAAAACAATTACATTTAAAATAATGCCCAATTTTGCATTTAGACTTTTAAATATAAGTTGTAATAGGAATAAAATTTCAATAGAAATTAAGTGAAACGGTGCACAGTTTCGGTAGAATAAGCATCGCACGTGGCAAGATCATTTTAAATTATTTAAAAATCGGAATTACGGAAATCAGAACAGCAGTTACGGCGGGTGCACGTCAAGCTCATTTCCTTTCGCTTCAGTCACATGTCGCTAAATAATTCAATAATAAAATGCTGCTTAACACGTTCGTTGCATTACGAGATCTATCAGATCTCTTGCAGGACTTTTGTATTGTGCGTTGAATATAATAGTGTTGTTTCACTCCTTGCGGGAGGATCTAACGTGTAAAGTTCTTTAGGTATGAGTAGGACAAATATACATATTTGCTTCCTACTTAAAGATGAATTCAAGGACATTAAAAAAGAAATTAGAGATGGATTAGGTCCCTAACGCACAGTACTGTAATTATTTTCATTCCTTGCGTTAGGAGATATGTCGGTACTCGTGGAATCGTACGCCTCGTAGACGCAAGAGAGGGAAGGTGGGCGGCGCGGGCGCTGCGTGACTCGTTTTAGTGTTGTCCTAGCATCGACATTCACATTACTCTCTGGTAAGTTTCTGGTAGCCTAAATTTCGGTTATTTAAACAAAAACGTTGTTATAGTAAACTTACAAGAGACCTGTGACATCCAACTTTTATTTAATACCTCCGTATATTTTTTTAAAGCCACAACAGCCTAAGAACAAAAATATACATGAGACACTCGAATAACGAAACTAACAAAATTAGATTCCATCGCATTTACTTCACTGACATAGTTGCATGCTGTTTATTTATACAATGCACTTTATTACAGAATTACCTGAAGGAAGATGTACTGATCATGTTTTCCAACGTGGCGACAAAAAAAGACGTTGTGTGGGTTGTTACGAAAAATTACGACGCACATTAAACAGCACTGACGCTTCTAAAAAAACTAAACGAATTGTTACTATTTGCGCGCAATGCAAGCAATCAATGTGCTTACCATGTTTTAATGAAAAACACTTTGCATAAAAAACTTTTTCAATCGATAACTGAGATATTATTTTATTCCCATCACTACTTACTACACATATTGAACTATCTTCCGTTGCGGTACGAGATACAATCGATATCATTTTTTTTTTTGTTTTTTGTAGTTTATTCAAATGTCATAACTGCGTGCGAACCTAGCAAAATATAAAGCAATAGGCTATCTTTCACCCACAAAAACTTCAAAATATATTTGATTGTTTTTTTAGAAGATATAAACTATTTTGAAAACTGTATCTTTAGGAGACCGATTAGGTCTCAAACGCACCAAATGGTAGGTTAGTTTGGAGATCTTTTAGGTCTCCAAAGCACCAGCTGAAAGTTTTTTGAAAGTGATGGCGCAGGGAACGTGTTAACAAGCGTTTGAATAATTCAATAGTTGTGTTGAATTGTTAGAAGGACCGTAGAATTAGGCGCTTTACAGCAAATAATTTACATATTTCAAGTATCCGCATTCATTTTGTTAGTCTTTATTTATTTAGTTCGAATTATTATATTATATTCTTACTTGCAGATCCTTTATTAAATGACTAGATATCGCCCGTAACTTCGTCCAAGCAAAATTAAAAGAACTAAGTAGGTAGTAGGTAGGTAGTGTTCTTCCAGACTATGTTCTACATCTATACCAAAATTTCAGCAATATCATTGACTTGTCCGAAGATACCTTCAAACAAACATCCATCGTTCCAAACATTCGCATTAATAATCTTAGTAAGTGTATTCAATATAACATTTAAACTATTAAATATTCACTGGTACTCTGTCTATATTAAATTTACGTACTGAAATTATTTCATTTAAAAATTGTTTAGTAGACTTACCTTGTATTGTATTCAAGTTCACTGCTATTGAATATATTAAATACGTTTCTAATGTTCTCTATTATTTATTTGTTCTATTTTATACAGGGTGAATACATTTTACCAAAAGGAAGTTAATATTTAAATGTAATTAATCATTCGTTTCTTTATCTTAAAGTGAATAACATTCATTGAAAAATACAGACCGAATATTTGAACTTTAACACTTTGATAAGACTATCACATGCAAAAGCGTTACAACGCTGGAGGAAATTTACTGAGGGTCGTTTTAAAACAAATATTTACAATTTGTAACAGTTTTTTTCATTATTGTACAAGCATTACTTTGAAGCATTAACGATAAGTAAATATATTTTCTTTGTATATCCTCATTCTTTTATTTATACATACTTTTACTGTATTTTATTGGAAACTAACTGTCGCCTACGACTCTGTCCGCGCGGCATTAAAAACAAACATAATTTGTACCTTATGTGTTTTTATAGACTATGTTCTATATCTATACCAAATGTTAGCGTCATCTGTTCAGCCGTTCCGGAGATACCTTCAAACATCCATCCATCCATCCAAATATTCGAATTTTTATATTAGTAAGTGGAAGTTTACTTATTAAATTAATTTAGCTATACTACAAGTATGTTTTTTTTGAGTTAAATAATAAACAACAATAACAAAGTGCAATATTATTTGCATGTTGCATTTAATATATTTACTAGAGATATCACGTTTACCTTAACCTTGAAAATATTCAATATATTAACAAGGTAACGTTCCAACACGCACACAAACTCCTGATAACTAAAGAAATTTATTGTGAACACAAAGGAGTTGTGTTTACGATTCTCTATTCATTTTATAGGCTACTCCACCCATTAGGGGTAAGCTTCGATAATTCTAGCCAAGTTTTTTTTTTCTATCAATCCACTTATAATTGATAGCACGTGCACGGTTTCCGTTCAGCCACGTGGCAGCTAAAATATTAAATATTCATTCCGTTTGAACTCGATGCAACAAAACAATGTTGATATATGCAAGAGAACAATAAGAGAAACCTACATAAAAATCGATTGATATGAAAATAGAGGTAATCTCGACAGTCTTTTATTTTAAAATCTCAACACAAAGGAAGAGGGTCGGAAGATTGGCTCCTTTTATCGTACTTGCGCCCTACATTTACAATTCAAACACTTCAATGTAAATGACAATCATTTAGACCTAATTATCACTTTATCTTTTACAAGTAATTACAGCTTGTAAATAGCGGTCAAGTGAAACAAATATCGTAAACAAGTAACAAAAACAACATAAAAGTCGAAATGTTTTATTAAGCGAACACAGGAATTATTAATTATACCTATTATTTACTATTAGAGATCAATTAATTTGCATACATAGACTATATTTAAAATGGCATTAAGTTTGATATCGATCACACATTCATATGCGGAATTAATAACTTCCTTTCTCTTAACTTCATAAACACTTCGAAAGTCACTCCAGAAATAACCATATTCACTCTCCAGATGTTTTCCTGGTTGTTTTTTGTTAATCTACGAGACAAAAAATCGTCGCATTTCAACGTGGGAACCTCTAACTTCGCAGATGTTTGGTTGAACATCCCGAGACATGTTGTGTCGTATCCACGTGTCACAACAGGAAGGTGATTGCAATTTAGTGGCGTAGACGCGTGCCACTTGTCCGGTCTCAACGGACCATGAAATAGACTTGCTGTTTTTACTACGCAGGGTGCACCAAGACCCCTTAGTTCCACATGGCCGGAACTAGTCCTTACTGCTTACAATGTTTACAAGTGTTTAATAATTTTTTTAATAAGATTACTTTATCTAAACACTAAGCGGTATTAACTTTATAAAATAGTTTAATGTCGACTTAATTTAATCTAGCTTAAAGTAACGGCAAATTATTTTAAATATTTCTATTATAGATTTTTCCGTTGTATATTTTCGTATTGAATATAATTAGGCTATTATTTGAACACAGATATTGGTTATTAGCAACTTCTCGGCTATATTTACTAATATTTTGTTTTTCTTTTAGGACAAATTCCATTATCTTATCAAACAAAATGATGTAACATCGTGTAATATCATTACTTCCTAAGCAGACTTTAAATGTCGTGCTGAACTTGGGATAAATTATCTTATCAAGCTGACATAATAACGTTGACCTCACATTAGACAGATGTTACATCAATTGCTGCTTTTAACTTCTCTTTTTTTTCAGCTCTGAAGCGTTCTTCTATTTGCAACAAGGTTTTTCCTCTTGTTTCAGGAAGGCAGAAGAACAGAAATATGGTTCCCACTAAGGTTGACATTCCGTAAAATAAATACGTACCGTGGTGGCCTATACTTTCGAACATTGCTGGCGCTGTTTTCACTGTTCCAAAGAATGATATTGAAGTCATCATAACACTTAATCCAGATCCTATTCCCTTTGTATCCGTCGCAAATACTTCTCCAACCATATTCCACGGCAAAGGAGCTATACCGATGTTTGATACAACAATGTACGTCGCCGTTAACCCTAGAGATATCAAAGGTTTCACGTGCCTTATTACTCGTATTTCCACTAAGTATAAATATATTGATAAAATGATTAGAGACAACGATGTAAAAGTACCACTGAATATCGCAATAGGTCGACGACCCATTCGTCTTAGCATGATGCAAGCCGTGACCAGAGCTACGCAACGCAAAATATCAATACCCAGCATAGCGGCATAAGTGTTAGATTTGCTTCCTAACAAAACCTCCATTATTTCTGTTGTATACGCACAAAATACATTTATCCCAGAGAGTTGTGTTATCGCAAAGAAAATTAACATAATACATAAAGGTTTCCAAAATTCTGGTTTTCTTAAATTCGTGGTCAGCGTTTCAATCTTTCTCTTCTTATCAACTTTCTTCGTTTGTTCCAATATCATTTTATCTAATTCCGTTTTCATCGCGGGACTTGTTCCCCTGTACCATTGGAATGACTTAATACATTTGTCTATTTCATTATTTGATGCTAGCCAAGCGGGAGATTCGGGTGCGTAATACAAAATTATACAGCCTACTAATGGGAAGGTGCCACAGAGTAGTGCTGAATGAGTCCAGTGTAAAAATGTTCCAAACAAATGTGACATAAAAACACCAGAAGCAATACTTAAGGATAAACTAGCTAGAAACAATCCTCTATACGCTGGCGTACTTATTTCTCCCACAAATACGGGGCCAAGGGGTCCGAGCCAGCCTTGACAAAAACCTGTTATGAATCTTCCGAACAGGATAAGATGTATACTATTAGCAAATGCTATCGTCACCCATCCTCCGATATAAAACAAGGATAGCAACATTTGCGATAATCTTCTACCAAACCTATCCATCAGATATCCAGAAATCATGTTCCCGAACAATAAAGCGAGTGATGATATCGCAGCTGAAAAGTAAAGAAATGCGTTATTAGAAATTTGCAATACTAATTAATATAGTAATTAATTTGCACATCAACACATACCTACCCATGACACCATCTCTGTTGAATATTTTTTATGCCCCTTGTCATGTTGCAGCTGAGGAATGAGAACAGCGGAGAAGCCTGCTGTGGCACCAGCGCTGAGTGACAGTAGAAATGTTCCGAGTACTATGATCGCCTGGAAACACAATACCCAAATGTGAGCTTGGGTAGTCTATAAGTTATATGAGACAATACCAAGAAATTATCCCTTTTTAAATTTAAATACATACAGTTTATGGTATCAAGAATTTCCCTTGCCCTAAAAGTATTACAGAACAAAACCTCTCCCGTAAATAGTTGACAATATAATGTTTTCTGTACTGGTGTTTTACTGCACATTGTAATAATCTATATTTTAAAATCCTGTAATGGTAGATGAATCTTGAAAAAAAAACGTCAAAGGCCTAATCGGCAAGTCTTTTCGAAAATATTTATGCCGAAAAAAAGTTATAGAATATTTAATAAAATGCGAATGAACGAATAACATTACATTCTCTACATAATTATTTCGCTAACGATTTAGATGTATCCCATAAATAAGTGGTTAGAATAACCAGAGGTTACATAAACATTCTAGATTCGATCCTGAAATGAAACTATATTTATAAACGATATTATAATGTATGTTTTCAGAGTTTAGTCAGACAACTATAGCTTCTTCAAGGTAGGTAAACAATTTATAAGTCGATATATAAATATATTTCAATATTTTTACATAATTAATACTAGAATTAACATGTCTGATGAACTATTGAACCGTCAAAACATTTAAATGTGGAATTGTAGCAATTTTTCATATGTTTCAAATTTAAATGTACTACAAATGAATCTATCGAATTATACTTTTTTCATTAAAATCGATTAAATTGTTAAGGCTACTATAAATACTATCTGGGAATCGGGCGATATTCTACCTTAAGAGTAAGAGTAATCTATATCTTAATATAAATCGAGTAACGACGAACTTTAGAGCAAACTTTTTCTTTTGCAGAATGGCCAGACAGTTTAATTTAATATTGCTGACATTGTAAATGATTTGAGGAGCGATTTCTTTGATTTTCCAGTTCCCTAGCCGCTTGTATTTCTGTTTTTCTTTGTTCCTTTTTATTGGCTATTCTCATTGTGATGTTATACTGTTATTTTTACTATCCATATGCGAAAACTATTATTATTAATATAGTTTTCCAGTTATTAAATAAATAAATAAAAATTAATTAATTAAAATCGGCAGTCTTTTGAACGTTTCATAAACATTAAGATGATGATGCGGAAACAATAACCAATAGAACGTAACTCTGAAATGTGTGTCTACGAATAAAGGGCGGAGATTTTGTTTCCACGAGCAAATCTTTTTATATAATTTGCGAACTGAAAAATCACAATAATTAATTCCACGCGAACGAAGTTGCGGGCTACAGCTAGATGTCGATGTAATCAAAAACACAACCACGTGCAAAAGTTGACAACCTTGAACGATATTTTTCATTGAAGTTCGTTTTAAAATTCCTTAAATATTTTCTCACACTATAATTAAAAAATATTCAAAGTAATATCACAATACCAAACTCATATAAATCTGAAAAAGGATATTTAAAATGTAATTATATTTTTATTAAAATATTAAAAAATATTTGTTATCTTAATATTTATTAAAGTTGCGGCAAATCTTTTATTATAATGTTAATAATGACATATAGTGTTAATAATGACATTGTTTATTATTTAAAAATGACACATATCAAAACAAAGCATAAATTATAAAGATTAGCAATAAGGAATCACATTTATTTAACCTGTAAGGGTCAAATAAAAATAAATAATAATCGGTCTTTACAGAGTTTATTAGGTGTGAAACATGACAATAACTGACTGATGTAGAACAATACTCTTAATTTTAAGGTACCAATAACCTATAGTTAAATGTATTTGAAGAGAGGTAATAAACTTTCGCCAAGAACGTGTTAAATTTAAATCCGGAATATCTACAGATTTACAGATTAAAAATGCCACTTTTGGTATCGTTATTTGGTCTCTAAACTAGCCCCTTAGTCACGATATAGAATTAAATATCGACCCTAACAGAATGTTTAGATAATCAATAAGTGTTAAGGGCACTTAAATTTAGATCACAATGACTTGTTCAAACAAATTATTATGAATCGAAGATTAAAGAATGGATACTTCTTTTTTTACGATCAATGGAAGGACTTAACCTCTTAATTACTTAGTAGTAGGATTTAAACGAAAGTAAAATCGTTTTAAAATCAGTCTTTTAATTAAATATATTTTCATATTCTATAAATCATTCTGTGATTCTCAACCGCGTGAATTAATTATTTTAAAAAATTTACATTCTTTTACTTTTGACCACGATGCAGTAATAATAAATCAAAAATTTTATGTAATACATAACTAGAAACCAGGAGTAAAATATTGACATTAATTTAAAACCAAATTAACATTTTTGACAATTTCCTTAATGTGCGATACAAAAAAAATGTCAGCACGTGCAGGAATATTGTAAAAAGTTTTTTAATCAATCAATTTTTCAAAAAAAATTATGAATTAACTTGAAAAAAAATTTTGGTACTATCAATAATCTTGTCGAAAGTTTAATGTTTTATAATATGTAAAATTTTTAATTTTTTTTAATTTATGCTTATGTTTAAATAAAAAAATTTCTCGATACTAATTCACAATGAAAAATGATCTAAATTAACGAACATGTCTTTCATTAAATTAAATTGATTCTTTATAAGATTTTTGTCTTGAGAATTATTTCGTAAAGCTTTACATTGTAATTTTTAATATTCAAGGCATGGCATAAAACAAAAAGCAAAACTTGGCCTTTATATGACTTTTGATTTATTTATTTCCTTCTCAAACATATCGTTTTTTATTTAAATAATATATTATAATGCATGATTTGTATACGATGATGACATAATAAGAATTGCTAAACTTAGCATCAATTATTTGCATTTCAAAATAATACTTTGACAAAAACATAAAAAAAAAAACAAAAAAAAATATAAATGATTACGCAAAATTTTACTAAATACTATTGTTTAAATGTATGGATCGATGTTCAAAGGTATCTCCAGAACGGCGGCATAGATCTCGTTGAAATTTGGCATAAATGTAGAACATAGTCTGAAGAAGATATAGGTTACTAATTAAGTTTTTTTTATTCCGCGCGGACGGAGTCGCGGCCTACAGCTAGTAATTATAAGTACAACGATATAAATTTCATATATGCCTCGCTTTAACATTTTACTGTGTGTGATATTATTTTAAAAGTTACACAATACAAAAGGGGACAAAATCGAAAACCTTTATAAAATGTACAATCACTTTTGGTATAAAATTGGTCATAATATTATAGGTCAATGCTTCGCGTGTAATAAGCATTAAATATATAAATAATACTATATTTAGTATCTGTATAATATATCTTGATAACTTTTTTATATTCTTTTTTTTATAGCAAAAGGCGGCAAACGAGCAAGCGGCCACCTGAAATCGCTGAAATAGCGAAGGGACCGTTGCCCATAGACATACGCAATTGCATATGCATTGCCGACCTTAAATCGACGGAGGAGAGGATGCACAGAAAGATATTATCTATTCTAGTTTCTTTTTTTTTAATTCTTTTTAAAATGTACTCATTTATATCGTAATACTATTTAATTTACCATCAATTTTGGTTCATAAATAAAATTGGAAATTCCTTTTTTTATTTTACTTATGTTTCTTGTACAATTTTAACTAAGCTCTATGCTTGTGCTAGGAAATGGTTTACGACAATAGTCGAATGGTGGGGTTCGAACCCCCGACCTGGTGATTAGAAATCCGTACCATTAACCATTAGGCCATTGATGCTTCTTAGAAATTTGAAGTAAAAAATGTTCTGAACAATACTAGTATTAAGAAACGCCATGTTATTTAACCATAAATTAATATTTGCATTTCCTTTATCTTGGTACATTTAAAAATTACTATCTTGGTGTAAAAACAAGTTCTTTGTGTATCATACGCAATGTTTACAAGTCGATAAAAATATTAAATTAAAAGACACATTTCACTTCAAACTTGATTGCACAAGAAAAACAAAACGTCTCCTTGTAAGAATATTTTATTTACTTCCTAGTAAATGTCAAAGGTAGTCGTCCCTTTATAAACTTCTTTGTTTAAAGATTAATAACATTTAGCCATTATCATTAGTGATTGGCGTAATTAAACTCAAGCTTCCCAAAATAAGATTTTTTTTTATTTCACAATCCTTAATATAATAAAAGGCTTTTGGTTGGCCAGCACTTAAATGAAGTAGATTAAATAATAAATAATATAGCTCTTTATGATCAAAGCTGGATAGAGTTGAGGCGAGCTTGAATATCTTACATATGAAATTCACGTATCACAATGCTAGTTACCATACTCTTACGAAACGGCTTAACCGATTTTTATGAAATTTTATATGCATACTAACTGTCGCCCGCGACTCAGTCCGCGCAGAATTAAAAAAATAATTAGTAGCCTATGTGTTCTTCCAGACAATGTTCTATTCTGCCAAATTATAAACTTCAAACAAACATCCATCCATTCGGATCAATCGCTTTTATAACATTAGTAAGAAGTACGGAGTAACATTCAGTAGGTCTGGGAATCGGCTAATATCTCTGTTTTAACCCCGCGCGGACGGAGTCGAGAGCCATAGCTAGTGATACTATAATCATTAAAAGTCCTTGCGGTCAATCCCTTGACACTCATACGGTCGTACCTACTTACACGTATAATATTAATTTGATATACTTAACGTATTCCTGTCAGCTTGTGGTATAGCTATTTATTACATACATTCAGATAGTTTAATACATCTTGTCTGTTTAAATCTTACTAATATTATTAATCTTATTTATATTATAAATGCGAACGTTTAAATGAATGGACGGATGAATGTTTGTTTGAAGGTATCTCCGCAACGGCTCTAAGGATTCTGATGAAATTTGGCACACATGTAGAACATAGTCTGGAAGAGCACTTAGGCTACTTATTAATTTTTTTTTAATTCCGTGCGGACAGAGTTGCGGGTGATAAATAGTACTTGTATTTAGATATGTTTGTGCTTAATAAAGAAACTTTGTATATCTACAAAAATGTAATTTATAAAATTTTATGTTGCTGGCCACATTAAAGACTTAAATACAATGTTTAAAAAAAACTCTAGAATTTTTGAATATACTTTGAAAATAATTGTAATCAAAGAAGTTCCGGATATAAAGTGTAGGCTTTAATATAATTTATATCCATTATGGGTTCATTATATTATATTTACATACTACATAGTAAGTGTCTCCTTGTTTAACCACATCAAAACATCATTAAATTTCCATATTACTTTATTACTATTTACAATTTTTCCATGAGTAA